AGTGTTCTTGACGGCTTGTAGTCCATCTTTGTGTGGAATGTTGGTGTAGAGGGCTTCTACATCCATAGTGGCCAGGATGGTGTTATCAGGAAGATCACCGATGGATTGAAGTTTCCTCAGGAAGTCAGTGGTGTCTCGAAGGTAGCTGGAAGTGCTGGTAGCGTAGGGCCTGAGGAGGGAGTCTACATAGCCAGACAATCCTGCTGTCAGGGTGCCAATGCCTGAGATGATGGGGCGCCCAGGATTTCCAGGTTTATGGATCTTGGGTAGTAGATAGAATATCCCAGGTCGGGGTTCCAGGCTTGGATTTAAACTTGGAGAGTGGTCAGTTTGGATGAGCTATTGCCAGCAGGAGAGTGAGTTTGTGTGTGTGTGTGTGTGTGTGTTCCCCGGGCGGGGGGTGTGTGTGTGAGAGAGCCTGAATTTGTGCTGGAAATGGCCCACCTTGATTATCATGCACATTGTAGGGAGAGTGTTCACTTTGGATAAGCTATTACCAGCAGGAGAGTGAGTTTGTGTGTGTGGTTTTTGGAGGGGGGTGAGGGAGTGAGAGAACCTGGATTTATGCAGGAAATGGCCCACCTTGATTATCATACACATTGTGAAGAGAGTGGTCACTTTGGATGGGCTATTACCAGCAGGAGAGTGAGTTTGTGTGTGTGTGGGGGGGGGGGGGGGGGAGGGTGAGAAAACCTGGATTTGTGCTGGAAATGGCCCAACTTGACGATCACTTTAGATAAGCTATTACCAGCAGGACAGTGGGGTGGGAGGAGGTATTGTTTCATGGTCTCTGTGTGTATATAATGTCTTCTGCAGTTTCCACGGTATGCATCCGATGAAGTGAGCTGTAGCTCACGAAAGCTCATGCTCAAATAAATTGGTTAGTCTCTAAGGTGCCACAAGTACTCCTTTTCTTGATTATTTGCTCCATTATCTTTCCAAGTACTGAAGTTAAGCTGAGTGGTCTGTAATTCCCAGGGTTGTCCTTATTTCCCTTTTTATAGACAGGCACTATATTTTCCTTTTTCTAGTCCTCTGGAATCTCTCCCATCTTCCATGAGTTTTTGAAGATAATCGCTAGTGGCTCAGATATCTCTTCAGTCAGCTCCTTGAATATTCTAGGATGTATTTCATCAGGCCCTGGCGACTTGAAGACGTCTAATTTGTCTAAGTCATTCCTAACTTGTTCTTTCCCTATTTTAGTCTCAGATCCTACCTCATTTTCATCGGAGTTCACTATGTTAGACCTCCAATTTCTACTAAACTTTTTGGTGAAAATTGAAACAAAAAAGTCACTTAGCACTTCTGCCAACTTCCCATTTTCTGTTATTGTCTTTCCTCTCTCATTGACTAACAGGCCTACCCTGTCCTTGGTCTTCCTCTTGTTTCTAATGTATCTGTAGAATGTTTTCTTGTTACCCTTTGTGTCTTTAGCTAGTTTAATCTTTTTTGTGCCTTGGCCTTTCTAATTTTGTCCCTACATGCTTGTGTTGCTTGCCTGTAATTTGATCTAGTTTCTACTTTTTGTAAGATACTTTTTTTGAGTTTCAGCTCATTGAAGATCTCCTGGTTAAACCAGAGTGGTCTTTTGCCATACTTCCTGCCTTTCCTACGCAGGGGGATAATTTGCTCTTTTGCCCTTAATAACATCTCTTTGAAAAACTGCCAACTTTCTTGAACTGTTTTCCCTCTTAGACTTGCTTCCCATGAGATCTTACCGACTGACTCCCTGCGTTTGCTAAAGTCTGCCTTCTTGAAATCCTTGTCTTTATTGTGCTGTTTTCCCTCTTACTATTCCTTAAAATCATGAACTCTGTCATGTCATGATCACAGGCTGCCTTCCAGGCTGCCTTCCACTTTCAAATTCTTAACCAGTTCCTCCCTATTTACCCTAGAACAGCCTCTCCCCTAGTTGCTTTCTCCATCTTCTGAAGTAAAAAAATTGTCTCCAAGGCATTCCAAGAACTTGTTGGGTAATCTGTGCTGTGCTATATTATTTTTCCAATTGATGTCTGGGTAGTTGAAGTTCCCCCTGACCAGCCAGTCCTGCTTTGGATGGTTTTGTCTGTTATTTAAAAAAAGCCACCTCCACCTCTTCTTCCTAGTTAGGTGGTCTAGTAGACCCCTACAGTGACATCACCCTTGTGTTTTACCCCTTTTATCCCTACCTAGAGACTTTCAACAAGTCTGTCTCCTATTTCCATCTCAACCTCAGTCCAAATGTATACATTTTTGATACATAAGGCAACACCTCCTCTCTTTTTCCCCCCTGCCTGTCCTTCCTGAGCAAGGTGTACCCTTCTGTACCAATATTCCAGTCATGTGTATTATTCTCCCACCAGGTCTGTGATGCCAACTATGTCATAGTTGTGTTTATTCACTGGCATTTCTAGTTCTTCCTGTTTATTCCCCATACTTCTCGCATTAGTATACAGACATCTAAGATACCAATTTTATGCTCAAATAAATTGGTTAGTCTCTAAGGTGCCACAAGTACTCCTTTTCTTTTTGCGAATACAGACTAACACAGCTGCTACTCTGAAACCTCTGATTCCCCGCTATTGTTTCCTCTTGTCTCTCCCTTGTCCCTGCTATAATGGCCCATGGTCGTCCCGTCCCCCCCCCCCCCCCCGATTTTGATCAGTCTCCATTTTTTTTTAACTTACTTGTGGGCTTTTGTCTCCTACCCCCATTGAACCCAGTTTAAAGCCCTCCTTTCTAGGTTAGCCGGTCTGTATCCAAAGATACACATCCCCTTCTTTGATAGGTAGATGCCCTCTCCACTCAGCAGTCTTTCTTCCCAGAACAGAGTTCTGTGGTGAAGGAAATTGAAGCCCTCCTGGCAACATCATCTGCACAGCCAAGCATTCACCTCCAGGATGCATCTGTCTCTGCCTGGGCCCCTACTCTTGACTGGAAGGATCGAAGAGACTACCACCTGCACCCCCAACTCCTTGACCCTCACTCCCAGAACCCTGCAGTCACTTCTGATCTGCTCACAGTATCATTAATGCCGGCATGGGGTAGTAGTTAGAGGCCGGATGATCCTCGGCAGTCCCTCCGTAATGCCTCAGATATGGGCAACGTACCTCCTGGGATGCCATGTCAGGCCAACAAATGTGTGCCTCTGTCGTCCTCCGAAGGGAATCACCAACCACCACTATCCTACATTTCCTCCTGGGAGTAGTGGCTGCGATCCCTCCAGCCTTGGGGATACAAAGCTTCTCCTCCTCCACCTTCGGAGGCGAGTCCTCACTGCTTGTTGCCAGGGCAGCATAATGGTTCTCCATCACTCTGGTGGGTGGGTTGGGAACAGGGGTGGAGCACAGCCTGCTGCCAGAAGTAACCAGCTGCCAGTGTCTTTCCTGTGACAGAGCCTTATCCACTTCACCTAGGCATGACAGCAGTCCTCTCTAGCTGGACAGCTTCCTCAGCCTTGGCGGTCTCCATATGAATACACTCAATGAATTCCTCGTGGGCATGGATGTGCCTCAGCCTAGCCACCTCCTGCTGTAGCTCTCCTACCTGTTTCCTGAGAGGTTTCGCCAGCAGACACCTTTCATACTGGACAGTCTCCCCACCTGACTTTCTGTGAGTGGGAAATGCAGGCCACAGTCCCTACTAATCCAGATCAGGATCTGGGTAGAGGCCTCTGTGTTTAGGTTCCCTGTCTGGATGCAGTAGAAGAGACAGGAGCAGCGCTGGCATTGCTAAACATAGGGATGATATTACGACTCCCTCTCAAACTCCCTGGTTTGCTGCCCCTGTTCGCTAGCTCGTTATTATTTATACACCACCAGTCATGCACCTGGTGCTTCACAGAACCAGTTTGAAAACTGGCCTGAGGAACTGACAGTGAAGAATGACTCGAGGCAGACAGGAGTTAGAGCAGCAGGAAGGAGATGCTTCTGTCTCAACTTGGGAGATCGCTCCTGCTGCTGTGCAGTATTTGTAAGGAGACGAAGCTCTTAGTCTGCCTGACGTGCTCTTTATGGCAGAAGTGTAGGCTGTGGTCAAAAAGTGAGACTAGCTGTCAGGCTCCAGCTGGTTTCTAGCAATGCACTAGGAAGTAGGAGAGTGCTGCTGGCTTTAGAGAAACAGGGTAGTAATGTGGTAGGAACCCAATAGAGAAAAGAAAGTAAAACTGATTTTCAGCAGGGCAGCTGTGTCCTGCCTCGGGCAGCGATCAGAGCTTCCCCTATTCCCTGGCACAAGTTCTAAGCCATTTTTTCTTTTGTATGTTGTGCTCCACTTCTCCAGATGGTGACAGGGCTGACCATCAGCTGTGAGTGAGCTGATCGAAAGGGGACAACTGCAGTTTCCAACCAAGCTGCTGAAATGCCCACCTTCCTTGTGGGAAGGGGGTGCTGGCTTTTGTACCCAGTTCTGCCAGGCATCAAGCGCTCCCAAACACCACTGGCCATCAAGGAGAGTTGAGGCTGCTTGACACATCTCAGTCTTGGGCCTTTTGTGCGTCTACAAAGACAAGACTATGTGTGGATGCTTCACCTCATCAGTGTGCTTTATAGATACTGTCTAATCCTCCCTATCTCTCGCCAGGGTGGTGAAGTGATGATACCCCCCCCCCTTGTATCAGTAGGGAAACTGCGCCCCAGGGGCTGTGACTTGCTCAAAGTCTCAGAGTGGTCTGTTCGTAGAGCTGGCATTAGGACGCCGGCAGTCCTGACGCTCAGCCCTGTGCCCTTTCCCTAGACCAAGTTACCTCTCATGCGCCAGGCCTGAAGCAGGGAGTGAGTTTGCTTTCCTCCTGGTGTTTGACATTGATCTTGTATCTCTGGGGGCTGCGCAAATTCACCTTGGTCTGTTCGTGGACCTTCCTGCCAAATGCACAACCTGATGGTAACAGACTGGCTGCCAAGTTCTTTCACAAGCTGTTCCCCAGCTCTGGTTAGAAATACCAGCTCACCGAGACCAGTCCCACTAGAGGATGATGTGAGCAGGTGCCCTCAGCGTTCTGCTTCCCTCCCACTTTCTCACAGCATGCATCCTCGCCATCAAGGAGGGGAGCAGCCTGTGCACTGATGTCTCCCCGCACCTAGCCCCCTTCTGCGAGATCCTGGAAATGATCCTTCGAAAAGGAATTAAACGTGAGTGGCCACTTCTACTCCATGCACGCTGCAGGGGCTGGTGCGGGCCCAAGAGAGGGGGCGGCACAGGCTGGTGCATGTGCTGCTTGTTAGTAAAGGACGAGCAGAGCCCAGGAACCACGGAGGCCTAGAACTCCCTGGGGAGTTGTGTGTGTTGGTTGGGGGTGGCTCTGTGTGGAAAGAATAGGGGCAGCTGCCTTTGCAGAATCTCCAAGGGAAACGCTCTCCTGGTTACCTGTCAGAGGGCCTTCCTAAAGGAGCTCCTCTTCTCTCTCCTTCAGAGCCGGTGCTGGGCTTCAAGAGACGAGATTATTGGCACTGGTTAGAGCAGCTTCCTCAGCAGGATACCTGCAGCGGGTGAGTGGCCTTTGGATGACAACATCCTGGACAATCCTTTGGGTCCGTTGCATGAAAAAATGGGGCGGAGTATGTGTTATTGTGGAACTACTCTAGGAGGAGGGGGGTGATGTTAATGCAAGTCCTCCTTTTGCAGCCGCCCCCCCTTGGACAGGTGCACGTATACTAGTTAAAACTGGATTCTCCGGAGCTCAACACACAAAGAAAGGATTTTTGCATAAATAGCCTGGTTTTAAACTGGCTCAGGGCCTTCTTCCTGATCCAGCCAATGGACAGAACCCCTGAAGAGCCCTAATTCTTGGGGAGGGGTTGGACGTACTGGGTCTACTGAGGCCCCATAAGACTGGTTGCTTGTTCCGAGCTGAAACTATGATGAACTTGAAACCCCTTGGGTGGGGTTTTAAAGAACTGTTCCTGCCAGAGCCCCTGTTAGGGTTGGGGTGGTCTCTGGTAAGCTTACTAGCATGCGTGGAGGTTCTTTTATTGTTTTTTAAGATGTGTTCTCTTAAGGTAGCACTTGTACCTTAAGGACACAGTAGGCTCGCCTAGGGAGAAATGTGTGGTAATTTATAACTGAGCAATTGCACTGTATGCTGTCTCCTGAGGGAAAGGAAGCACAGACCTGTTCAGGCAGACTGACTTTGTGGGTCAATTCACAGTATTGATCAGTGCAACTTGGAAATACCCTGGTCAGACGGGAGTGAGACACGTGTCTCCACCCAAGAGAGGTGATGGCCAGGGGAGCGGGAAACCTGAGAGTGGGTGCCATTGCTGGACCCCAGATGGGGAATACAGGTGCAGTTGCCTTGAACTGTGACAGGTGCCATTACAGAAACTGGCACAAGGACTTGCTCCTGGAAGAGAACCCCATTACAAGTGAGTGACCAAGACCCCTTTTGGCAGACAACCAGAGCCTGGGAATGGGTCATCGCCTGCCCATGCTGTGAATATTCCCTGGCACCTCTTCATATTCCTTCTTTATAGGGTGACCCCCTTGTCAATCATGATAGAGAAAGCCAGTTCCTGTGAGAAGGTGCTGACAGCGCAGGGACGAGGGCGGTACTTCCTGCGCCTAGCTTTAAATCAGAAGTTACTAGCTACTGCCATTCAACAGCTGGCTCGGAATCCAACACTGCTGGAGGTAGGAAGAGCTTTCACCATGAAATATCTTTATGATGAGGGGCAGCAGGGAGCCCGTTTTGGATAAACTAAGAACGGACCCAAATCTTGGGCCTAGGGAGAAAGATATTATATTTTTTATTTATTTTTTTGCTTGACCCTCTGTATTTTATAATTCCAGCCTGGCCAAAAATAGGAAGAATCTTAAATCTCCCCTGAGTTCTCTAGGCCAGGTTGACAGGCTCCAGAGGATTCAAATAAACATCCAGACTTCTGGGTGCCAAGCTAAAACCACCTTCCAGAACAAATTTGGGGTCATTCATTTCTATTTGTGCCATGGTTGCAATTTACAGTGTAAAATTTTAGATGGTTTTGTGGCCATGTTCAGTTCATGGCGTACAACTAAATTATGTATGTATCTGTGTGTGTGTGTTTGTTTTTAAATTTTTTAATTTCAGTGTTACGATCCTCTGATCTCAGTGCTGGGAAATGAAGATTTCATGGGTAAGGTTGAGACTTCCTCCAAAATTCAGTAATGTCACTTAAAAAAAAAATCTCACACAAATTGGTTGAGATGTAGGTCTAAAAATATTTATGAAGCAAAGATGACTGAAAGCCAGGGTATGCAATGTAGTATGCTGGAAAACCTCCAGTTTATTTATAATTCCTGGATTTGCTATAGCTTCCATCCTGCACTTTTTATTTATTCAGCTCCTTAGGAATTTAATCTGAGTAAGGACACTGTGATGGAACCATTTCAAGGGATGAAATGAGATTATTATTTTGCAGTCAGGATGAAATTAATCCCTGGTGTTTCTCAGCAGAGTTTACACCAGAGGATGAATTTGACCTTCATCACTAAGAAATAACCTTCGGTAATGAATGGTTTTAAGAAAACTCTGTTCCCTAACAGGGACAGAAAAGAAGGATGGGCTGGGACTCAGAGAGCTGGGTTAAATTCGTGGCTCTGCCACAGAATTCTTTTATGACCTTGGGCAAGACACATGATCGCTCTGTTCCTCAGTTTCCCATCTGTATAATATGGATCCTAATACCGCCTTTCTTCTACCCTTGTCTATTTAGCTGCAAACTAAACTAGGGTGAAGACAATACAATGCGCTGAGATCTCTAAGCGTTACTGTAATACAGGGGGAAAAATCAGCCTCCTTTTAGTCAGACCCAAAACTTTGGTCTTGGGAGGGTGTTTTTATTTTAAGTTTTACCAAACCTCAAATGAATAGAAGTAACACCAGGGGTGGTTGTGTTTTTTTTTTTTTTTTTTTTTTTTTAAGCCAGTAAAACAGTTCTTCTTTGGATCTAAACCTCCCCCTGCAGCATTTGCAGCCCAGATGTCACAGCTCGGTGCTGGAACAGTGAGGAAAGCGAACGTCGGTTTTATTGTCTAAACAGAAGGAAGTGGTAAAATCTAAGTCAGCAATCTCCGTGCTGGGGAGATGTTTATCATTCCGTTTGAATCAATCGCAAGGTGGTGGTAGGGATCTGAGATGGGAAAGTTAAATAGGATGATTTGTAACTGGAGTGTTTCTTTAAGTAAACTGCAAAAGTCTGATGTCTTGTCCGTAACTTTTAGCAGCCTAAACCCTGCTGGTCCCAGGTGAGGACGTCTGAACTGGAACACTTTTCCAGCTATTATAAAAGGCTGGAATGCTGTGTGACTCCATCAGCAACTATTCTCCCAAGATTACTGGGACAGGGAGAAAGCCTTTTCTTTTGATTATGATAAATAACTGGGGGTAAAACGGTCCCTAGATGGCTTTTAAATAACTTTGGACTTCTAGTTGAAGTCTAAGTCACACAAACCCATCAATATAATTGCACGATTAATGTTGGAGACGGACTGGAGATTAAAAGACAGAAGTGGAAGAAGTTATCTGGTTAGTGGTGGTTTCTATGATTCAGAGCCTGTTGAAGTCAAGGGAAGGATGCTCATTGACTTCAATGGGCTTTGAATTGAGGCCCACGTGTATTGCATTTGTACTCCAGATGGGTGTCTGGACTAGGTTTTGAGGGTATTTTGCACAAGTGTCCCACTAGTGCAGTTCCACCAGTGGTAGCGATGCAGAGGGGACTGTTATAGACAAGGCTCTGATGGGACGTTCTTGCAAAAACAAAGCAAAAAAAGACTGGCATTAACAAGGCCTTAGAATCCTGGCCCTGGCCAGTAGCAAAGCAGGTAGGGGATGAAAAACCAACATTCCAGAAGTGAAGATCTAAAAGCCCTGCTAACCATCTGGCCAATCCCTCTGTGTCCACAGGCCAGTGTACTCATGGAGCCATCCCTTTCCCTGTCCACAGTGCTTCTTGGTCAGCTGTTTTTCTGTAGCTGAGTTCGAATTCTGTTTCATGCCATGAGGTTAGTTTGTTTGCTGTGTGGTTTTGGTCAGAGTTCTGTGACTGCGGAACATAGCATGCAGCTCCTACAGTGCAGACCTGAAGAGAGCTGGGGTCTTTTCCTGGCTCTCACAGCCGTGTTGTGTGAACTTAACCATGATCCTGCAATGGACTCAGTCTGGTTGGGCCCTGTGACCAAGTCACTTTTGCCTTTTTGTTTTCCCTTCTCTAAAATGGGGATAATAATCCCTGTTTCACAGGCTGCCATGAGGTTTAATCCATTGAGGTTTGTAAAGAGCTTTGAGATCCTTGGATATAAGGCACTGGAGAAGTGCAAAATATTGTTGGTATGTACGGTTGGGCAAGTATTGTTGTTAATACAGTATGACACTGAGGATCTAAAACTCCCTGTTGTCCAAACTGGGGGCCATGTCCTCCATTGTCTGCTACTTACTTGGAAAATCTCTTCTGATCTGGACCTCTGCAGTATCCCTGGGACGTGGGGATAAGCCCATGTGCAGCTGGTGAGGAGTCTGGCAGTAATGTTGGCTCTTGGTCCCCCCTCTTGCAGAGCCGTTCCTCTCACTGATGCTGGTGGTGTCAGAGATGAATTTCTCCCTGGATCTGCAGGTACGGTAATAAACTGGTCTGGGCAGCAGCTTTGTGTGTCTAACATAACTCTATGTGCAGAAGTCTTCCTCTTCATACTTGACACCAGTTGCTCTGCTGTGCTTTGTCTGCAGAATTCCAGTTTCTTGGATGAAAGTTGGCTGCTGCCGGTAAGACTCCGCTTCACCCTCTGATGCAGGATCCAAGATTTTATTCTTCTTCCTTCCATCTGCTGGGTAGCCCCTTGCTGAATACCTGGATCATAAACACAGAACCTTGTTAGACTTCAGGTTAAAAATCATTGGGCTAGATGGTGCAAATCAGCACAGCTCCACTGAAGTTAGTGGAGTGCCATCTGTTTACATGGCCTGAAGATCTAGCCCATTATGTGGTTCCTTAACATAGGTCCTGAACCAGCAAACACTTACTCCCCTGATTCACTTTAGTCCCTTGAGTCCCTGGGACTACTCCTGTTAGTAAGGTGAAGCAGGTAAGTCAGTGTTTACAGGACTGGGGCTAGGTTACTAACATCGCAGGTATCTAAAATTGGGGGAAATTTTAGAAAATCTAAGTTCCTTTCCACTATTATTACTGCTCTTAGACATCTTGCATGTCTCTGGGTTTACACAATGAAAATAGGGTGGTCAGTTTCACTCAGTTTCATTTTTCTGGCTTTCTTGTGCTAGGAGGTTTCAAACCTTCAGGAAAGTTTCAATTTCTTTAAAAATTATCCCCTTCCTCCTTTCCACTGGATTTTCAAAATCCTAGAAATACAAAGACCTGGGATGGAATCCAGGTTGCACCAAAGCCAAATGCAAAACTCCCATTGACTTTCATGGGTCCAGGATTTCACCCAGGGTGCCTGCCCCTAAAAGGCTTACAGCTGAATGGACTGCATTTCAGGTTGCCTGTGTCCCTTTAATTAACGTGGCAGGATGGGAAGTGTTTCTCTGGGGGGAATACAGGGTTTGTGTGTGTCCTGCAGACTAATCCTTCCACAGTCTGCCTTGGCCCTGCCTAAATCCCAGGTTAGAGACCCGCAGTTAATGACCGTGTGTCGGTGAGGTCAGAAAGCTGCCTTCCCAGAAGGAGACGGCTCCAGGGGTTAGTAATGGGACATGGAACCCATGGCTCCATTGTCTCCACTGACCAAAGGCCATTACAACTTGGCAACCTAAGAAGTGTGGGGTGGGTGGCCGGCTCTGGCCTCCGTCCAGTGTCTAGCAGGCTGGAGTCTGTCTCAAAAAGCACCACCATAGTCACCGCTCTTGTTGGCAGTTTCAGCAGAGAGGCTGGGGACTGAACAAACTTTGGCTGAGCACCTTAGGTGGGCATTTAGCAGACTCTGGAAAGACATGGCGGTGGTGCTCAAGGTTGGGCTGGAGACCCAGGGTGGGGCTCTAAGGGGGAACGCTCACTGCTGCTGCACTTCTTCTGTGGATAAATGGATGACCTCAGACTCCAGAAGTCTCAGGCTGGCATCTCTCCGAGCAGTTCCCCCAAATGTAAATGGAGCAAACACTAATGGGGGGCAAAATGCCCCCCTCCTTGCCAAGGCGGAAAGGGGCTGGAGAGGGAATTCTTGTGCTACCTGGAGCCGTTGCTGGAGGCTGTACTGACAGATGCTGCGTTGTAGGTGTGCATGACCTATGAGACTGTACCCTGCAGAGAACTGGGGATGGTGCTCAGGTAAGAGACCAGCTTTCCTCCTCCCTTCCCCTGCTGCTCGGCAGCCTCACATCTGCATTGCAGTAAGTGTTGCTGGGATCTATGGACTTATCATAGAATTGGAAGGGCCCTCGAGAGGTCATCTAGTCCAGTCCCCTGCACTCGGGGCAGGACTAATTATCTAGACCATCCCTGGCAGGTGTTTGTCTAACCTGCTCTTAAAAATCTCCAATGATGGAGATTCCACAACCTCCCAGGGCAATTTATTCCAGTGCTAAACCACCCTGACAGTTAGGAAGTTTTTCCTAATGTCTGACCTAAACCTCCCTTGCTGCAATTTAAGCCCATTGCTTCTTGTCCTATCCTCAGAGGTTAAGAACAATTTTTCTTCCTCTTCCTTGTAATAACCTTTTACATACTTGAAAACTCTTATCCTGTCCCTTCTGTCTTCTCTTCTCCAGACTAAACAAACCCAGTTTTTTCAATCTTCCCTCATAGGTCATGTTTTCTAGACCTTTAATCATTTTTGTTGCTCTTCTCTGGACTCTCTCCAATGGCCGTGGTCTGGGCCGCATCCCTGATTAGATGCTAGCCTGACTCAGGTTGAAAGTGCTCCGAAGGCAGGGCACTTGCCCCAGAGCAAAGGGAAGGATGACTGGAATGGCAGGCTTGCACCCCAAATGCCAATGGACTCTGCTAGCAGCTGCCCTTTCCTCCAGTGAGCAAAAGGGCTGTAACTGGCTGGACCCACCTCCTGTTTGGGCCAAGGAATGTAGAGCCACGTTAGTTCTTCCTCTGGCCCGAGGGATCCTGCCTCCCCAGCCACTTGGGATGTTTTCATCCGGTGCCTCCAGCTGAACTCTGTGTCCTGGCTGTGCCCTCAGGTACTTGGACGGTCGGATCTTTGTCATCGAGGTGCTTCCCGAGAGCCAGGCAGAGGTGGACGAGGTGGTGCTGGCTGGAGATGTCATTGACGAGATCAGTGGCTTTTCCCTGAGAAATGCACGCAACGGACAGGTGTGGGGAAGCACATGGGGTCAGACGAACTCTTGCCTTCAGGGGCTGATGTGCTGCCCCCTCTTCTGGGATCCTGTCTGAAGTGAAAGCCTCACTGGTGTGTGTGTGGTGGGGAGGGAGATGTCTGGCCGTGGGATGGATACAGAACAATTTCCCTGATCTTGGTGAGCAGGAAGGGGAGGAACGATGTGTTGGCAGCTTGTGGCCGGATCGCAGGGTGGGCCAGGTTGTTCCATTGTTAACAGCTGTTGAGAGTCCACACAGCTACACCACAGAAAGCACGGAGGGATTGGCATGGGATGATCCAAGCCCCCCGCCCTCAATGCATGCCCTGGCTCTCTCCTCTCTGTCAGGCAGGGACTGTGCTGCAGAAGCTGAAGGGCAAGCCTCTGAGCTTCCGCATGATCCGGTGGAAGTGGCACGACGGAGGGATGTACAAGCCGCTGCTGCCCTACCTGAAAGTGCTAAGGGAGAAGATCCCCAGCTTCCAGCTCCAACAGGAGCACACACACAAAGAGGAGAAGGAGGAGCGGTGCCTGCAAGGGGGCAGGTAGGGCCGGCTGGAACTGAGGAACACACTTTGTTAGGGGTGACATGATCCCACGTGCCCAGCATTGGGTTAGCCCTGAGGTTGGGAAATGAAGCCAGGCCGGGATGGGGAAGGGAGTAGAGGTCTCTGTTACATATGTGGGGCTGGGCAGCGTTTCCACTGCAGCGTGTGCTCCAGAGCAGTCCTCAGCTGCCCAGTGCGTGTTGGATGCTGCTATTTTGCGCTGAAACGTATGCCCCATGCCCAGGGGTTGTGGAGATCCTTAAGGTTGGTACCAGTATTGTGACTCATCCAGAATCTCAGCCGTGAAGCAGCCAGCATCATTCTGCTCTGGGGGTGAGTGGGTTTAGTGCTTGCTTTAAGTTGTGCCATAGCAAGACACCTTAGAGGAGCTCTGCATGGACTCCCTGTCCTAATTCTGTTTCTTCCTCCCCAGGCTTCTGTACAACCTGCGGTACCTGGGTCAGGCCAATGTAGGAAAGGTACCGTTGTGATTCTGATGGACTGGAGTGAGTGTGTGTGGGGCGGGGGGCGCGGTCTTGTTTCCACTGACTTTCATTTAACATCATTTTGTTTCCCCCCCACCGCCTGCCCCAATCCGTTTTCAGTACGGTGGCAAAGAGGTGCTGGACGAAGGGATACCCACGGTGTTAGAGCAGCACCTGTGCCCACGGGTGAGTTACTCGCTGTGACCTCGCAGGAAGGATAGACAGGCAGCTGGCATCGCTCCAGGGCAGAGATGAGGTTGTTTGGGGTGCCAGTACTGTTCTAGACTTCTCAGCTCTTTGGGTTTCTTTTTGGTTTAATCTTAACGCTGAATTTCTTCGGTTTCTAAGGGTTTGGGGGGTTATTTGTTTAATAAGCACAACGTTCCCGGCACTCTCACCCCTTCCTCTAGTCTGATTTCTTTGTTTGGGAATTTTCTTACTTTTTAATTTCCAAAAAATCCTCCCTGGGTCCTTAGCAGTGAGGGTGTGTGTGACAGGGCAGGGGTTCTCTGCTCCCTGGGACCTCCTGCCTGGGGCCCTCAGAGTAGAAGGATGGGGCATTGAAGAATAGGACAGGGGTTCTTCACTGCCTGGGAACTCCTCTGCCTCCCTGCTGACCCCCAACTCTTCATCTCTCTGACAAGCCAAGGGTCTCCTCTTCCGATTCTCTTCACCCCTGTTCAACCGGGTTCCCCCCGTCTCATTCCTCTACGGTAGCAAACCAGACCTGTCTAGTCTCTGGTGTTCAGATGCAAATTTTAAAGGCCCAGAGTGGTCATTCCACTATACAGGATAATGCAACTGACTTGTCTAGTCTGTCTGTGGCTGTGGTCCATAAGGGTTAACCCCTGTTCACGAAATCGCTTATCCATGGGTTTTAAATCCCATTAAAGTCTCTAGAATTTAAGCATGTGCTGCTTCAGGGCTTTCCTGAATTGGGGCCTGAGATTGTGATTTAATTTTTCTCTGGAAAATGCCCTCTCAATTTAAAACTTCCCCATTCACAGGAACTAAAGAGCTTCAGACTTCTGTGAAGTTCAGTGGTTTAGAAATTTTCGTCCCTGCCAAGAACTGGTGGACTAAAAAAAGCATTAGGCACTGGAGAAACCTCTAAGCCACAGTGGCTTTTTGATTTGTAGCATAAACACTTCCTGCACTCTCCAGATTCTAAGGAAAACTCCTTCTCCTACCCTGCTTTAAGCATTTCAGATTGCAAACAAATGGGTCGCTCTGATCAAACGTTAGAGTGAAAACAGGGCGTGGAATGGAAGTGCAGACTCAGCCGTAACACTAATATAGTGAGGATTGGCTTTCCTCCTGCCCGTGGCTTCTACAAGTGACGTGGTTCCTGCCATACCCTAGGAGAAAGTCTTCCACCGTCATGCATGAGTGGCGATGCTGGCATTAGCTACGAAGCGAAGTATGTTGTGGTGCGAGTGTACACGCACACACGCAGAGGAGAGCTCAGGGGAAGAGCTAGTGCAGGGGGGCTCGCCTTTGGCTCCGGAGCCACACGGCTCTTCACGAGTTAACGTGCGGCTCCTGGTACAGGCACCGACTCCGGGGCTGGAGCTACGGGCGCCAACTTTCCAATGAGCCGGGGGTTGCTCACTGCTCAACCCCTGGCTCTGCCACAGGCCCTGCCCCCACTCCACCCCTTCCTGCCCCCTCCCCTGAGCCCGTATTGCCTTCGCTCCTCCCCCCAGAGCCTCCTGCTTGCCATGAAACAGCTGATCAGGAGGTGCGGGGAGGGAGAGGGAGGGGCTGCCAGAGGTGTGGGGCGGGGGGGAGCTTATGAGGGGCTGCTGCTGTATTACTGTGGCTCTTTGGCAATGTACATCGGTAAATTCTGGCTCCTCAGGCTCAGGTTGGCCACCCCTGAGCTAGTGTGTTGGGAGGGAGGGAGGGGAATACTACCTGCATTGCTTAGGTTGTCAAACCTAGTGAGAGAACCACATGGCTTGAGTATTCATAAGAGTCTGAAACGTAGTGTTTGGAGCTCAGCAAATCTGTGTCTATTGCATGAGTCAAAACAAAATGGGTTGGTGAGAATGTATTTCCTTTTCCTTACGCAACACAGAGCGCTTGAGAGCCATAGCTCTGTATTTTGAATACATGCATCACGCAGCCTACGTGCACAAGCAACAAGTATCTGGGATACCTATATATTGTGCAAGTATGGTGCACATTATTGTAGTAGGAAGAGAGCCTGAGACCTAGGCCCTGGGTGAAATGGATTGAGTTGAAGAGGCTGGCTAGTACTGCTCACGATGACATAGTACCGAGTGCAAAAACGCTCAGTGCTCAGGGGAAAAAAGACATGTGCTCTACCCTTCAGAGTTATAATTTAAGAGCCCAGCTCTGCCACTCTCATGCCAGCTGAGTAGTAGCATACTCACTGAATAGGCATAATATACACCTCCAAGTTCACCAGCAAATCCTGGGAAGACAAGACTGGTAATTTCCGATCAGATTTAAGCTGACTAAACAAGTAGAACCCCTTTTCCTTTAACAAAATGTCAGGCCTTCTTTAGACCTCACAAAGAAGCAAAATAAAGGCACAGACCAGGCATTGTTTTCCCTCTTCAGCACACTTGTAATATTCTTGTGCTGGATCCATTCCTACCTTTTGTGTATAAACTCCACAGGGAGGGATTTTTGTTGTTTGTCTGGCATACTGATCAGTTGTAAAGTGCGGTGTCCAGCATTTCTACAGCACCACAAGGTGAAGAGTAACTCTACGGTTAAGTTGGCTGAGCTGGCACAGAACAGACGGGTCTAGGTTCGGAGCGGGTGTGTGGGAGGATGTGGCTGGCAAAAGGAGAGGGACATAGTCTAAATTAGAATCAGCCCCAGCTGGGTTTACAATTACACTTCAGTCATTCAAGCTTGGTGTTTGTGTACTATGAGTACTGGCAGATTAATGTTGGCATTTAAGTTGACGGAGCTCGGATTGTGATGTTGTTACCACACCTCAGTAAGATAAATGTAGGAAGGTCCTATCTCTGCCAGTGCTGTTCGCTCACTCTGGTTCCAGATTCAACCAGCTGGGCAGTATATTCAACAAACCGCCAGTAGGGATTTAATATATAGAAGGATCTTTGCAACCAGAAGAACAGAAAACATTTAAAATAGGGAATCTGATCATTTAAATCCTCAATCAGTTATCTACATTTCTGGGCCTGATTTACCATTGTCCTGAACCTTGCGTAGATGTTTGTGAAGTAGGTTGAAAACACTACCGTACTAGAATGGCCGTGATTGATGCCCACTATGCACCGGTATAAAGGACTGCACAAGATGGAGGGCAACAGTGAATAAGGTCCTGAGAGATCAGTAGGGGAGAACACAAACTGAGTATTGCATAACTCCTCCTCCGCACACAGCTCTGCCTGTCTTGACCTGAAATATCCTCTGCTGGTTCCCATCATTTATTCCTCCTGAATTTATTCCTCCTTTTGTGATCCTGCCAAATCACCACCAGAGGTTAGACGGAGATTATCACCGGGGTTATTTTCACTCATGACCACACTGAATTTGAACCAAAGTCTGAAGAGCTGAAAAGTAAATTTGCTGCACCAACCAGCCGTTGTGATCTGTGGATTTTGCCACCAGCAGAAGGCTTTCTGAAAACCTGAGCTTCTGTATGATTTACATCACTCCTGGTTAAGCGCTCTCTTGCTATTATCTTTCTCTAAAATAAATCTTAAAAGTTGGTTTTGTTTATTTATTCAGGAAGTTTTATTTGACGTGAAAGAAACTGAAGTCTTCATACAAGAGAAAACCTCTTCCAAGGTGAGAAAGGGATGTCTTCAAGTTTAGTTGAAACAGTCTGGCATGTTAGAATATAGATATTCAGGCCTGCCTGTAAAGCCTATACTTTAAGAACTTAGGTGTATTTTTATCACTTTGTTAGTTACAGGGGTTTAAAAACAAAGAATGAAAATCACAGTCCGCCTGTGTGTGGGCCTTCTCTCACTAGGATAGTCTGAGGCCTTGTTCTTAGGCCAAGGCCTTTGGCTAAGCAGCAGAGGCAGCCATAAGCTGGGAAGCGACCGGTCACACCCTCACATTCCAAACCAGTCACACTGAAATAAGGTGGTATTGGGCTGTTAGGAAGACGATCGCATCACCACCAGATAAAGAAACTGATCTTAAGATCGTTAAAGAAAACTTAGTTTGATAGCATCCTGTCTGGCAAGAACTCACTTATCGATGGTTGTGGTTGTGAAACCCTCATTTCTGTAGTTTTATCTTTTTGGCCTCCACTTTTCTATTGTTAATCTGTCTGGTTCTCTAATTGTTTGTCTGCTATATAATTAATTTTGCTAGGTATAAGTTAATTAGGGTAGTGGGATGTAATTGGTTAGAGAATTATGTTACAATATGTTAGGATTGGTTAAATTTCAGTAAAATGATTGGTTAAGGTAAAGTAAGCTGAGAATATTACTCTCTAAACTGGGGTCAAACAGGAAGTGGGGGGGAAGGGAAATTGGAATCATGCTTGCTAAGGCGGGGAATAGGGACTGAAGCAGGGCTCTGCGGCGTCAGAGCTGGGAAGGGGGCCACAGGGTAAACTCTCTACGGCGTCAGAGATGGGAACGTAACACTGGGGAACAGACTCTATCGGCATATAGAAATAAGCCCGACTGGTGTGAAGGGCTTTGGAATATGCTTGCTTGGAAACTAACCCTAATAAACATCGCATTGTCTGCACTTAGGACTTCTGGTCTTTTGCTGCTTGCTGTCAGCGTGACAAGAACCAGGGAAGCGGGAGGGTGAAGTGAAAGCCCTCTAACACAGCACATTAGTGATGTTTAAATATCCCGATTTGTGTCCTCTCACTTTCATTAGCATGGTTCTGCTTTTGCATGTTTTTAGCTTGTAGAAAGTGCACTGAGCTTTGTGTGTACACAGCAGTGTCAGAATGTGAAACTATTTTGTGTCTCTTATGCATGGCAGGAGCAGCTCTGACTTCATTCTACATGGAAAAGAATTTCCCTTTGCAGCAATTTATTTAACGCCAGACTAATTCAGTGAACAAACAGCAGGCCCCAGAGATTGAACCCTGAACTGTCAGCTTTGTTGCTAACCAAATCTTTCTCTTGACTGTTACACCATAGGTTCTGTTCCAGTACCCCTATCCAGAGATCTCCTGTGTGGGTCGCCGGTTGGACAGCAACCATCTTTTTGCCTTCTGTGTTGGGTAAGAGTTGAGTGTGGGCTAAACCTAGTCCGGTGTTTGGGATCATGAATTTATCAATTACATTTTCATGCATAGTCTTAAACCACTCTCAAGTAAGTTAGAGTTAGAAAGCATGTATACGCTTTTGGAGAAAGTCAATAAAAGAAAATGGGGGCTACCAGCCCAGGGTGCAATAGATGTGTGCCATTGCTGTACTTGTACATGGACCACCAGCCTTGCTGTTTCTTAATAGGAAACTGGGACAGATGCACCGGCTGTCGAGATGCGGTCACTCTATGATACTTCCTGTACCTGGACACCATTTTAAGCCCCTTTGTGAATTGCTGGATTTATTATTGTCTATTGAAAGGAATTTTCTTATTCAGGGTTTCACCAGGGACCCCCGAACACAGTACCTTTGACTGTCTTGTGTTTGAATCAAATTCTGAGAGAGAATGTGAAGAAATTATCAAGAGAATTGGTAAGCATACATTTTACTGTTTTAGATGTAAATTAGAGTAAAAAAGATGGAAGTTCTTTGTGTTCTGCAACATGCAAGTACTGACTTCCACTTTCTGTGAGGTACTAGCACCTGTAGGTAAAAAGAAATGTTTTAATGTGATCTTCTAAAGGTTGTGCTTAAATCCCACTGAAGCTGATAGATCCTGAACATGTCCGTAAGTTAAAGATATGCATGTACTTTAGTGCTTTCCTGAAGCGAGGCCTGAGATCGTGAAGTAATTCTTCTCTGGAAAATGCCCTTTGTTTAACTGTCCCAATCACAAGATCTAATGAGCTGTACCCATGTGTGAAGTTTGGTGTTTTGGAAACTCTCCCTGTTGAGAACAGGTGGGCTAAAAAAGCATAAGGCATTGGGAAAGATGTAAACCACAAGTAACTGTTTACTTCCATTCCTTGTTGTGATGTCTAATTAGCACAGGAGTAGGTAAAATGCAATATTTTAATGTGATTTTTTTTTTAAAGGAAAATTCTAGTGATTCCTATAATACTGAACCTAATTTATTTACCACATACCCAACCAGTTTTAGGTAACAGCTGGTAGAAATACTAAAGTTTCAGTACCTGCTCTCAGTGAATGGAGCTGTATTGTTTCAGGGGCCTAATATTTAAAGATACTTTTCCAAATAGGACTGAATCAAGCTGTGGGAAGTTCCATTGCTTGTAAGCCTTGGATTTTATTTACCCAGGTATCTAAGGGTAGGTCTACGCAGCAAAAAACACAACAAAGAATGTAGCAGTGAGTCTGAGCCCAGGTCAACTGATTTGGGCTTGCAGCATGGGGCTAAAAATAGCAGCGTAGATATTTGGGCTGGAACCCTGGGCTCTGAAACCGGGCAAGAATCTGAGAGCCTGGGCTCCAGCCTGAACCTGAATGTTTACACTAGTTTTAGCTGTGGTGTGACTCAAGTCAATTGACCAGGGCTCTGAGACGCACTGCTGCAGGTCTTTTTTTTTTTTTTGCTGTGTAAACACCCCCAAAAGGTACCTATTGGGCAACACCCCTGTGAGGTAGGGCAAATGCATTTATTGCCATTTTACAGCAGGGGAACTGAAGCAGAGGCTAAGCAACTTGCCCGTGCTCACAGGAAAAGTCTGTGCTAGAGCAGGGATTGAACCTCTATCTCCCAAGTCCTAGTGCCCTAACCACTGGACTGTCAAGATGGTGATACCCAGTTTGCTTAACCTTCTGCATTTAAGATGTTTTCAAGTGATTTACATCATAATTCAATGCCCTTGTTAGAATCTTGTATTATTACCCTGTAGTATTTGGTCACTTATCTTAGTGCTGTTCAGAGTATCCATAATTTGGGATATAAAGGTATTAACACTGACATTTTTGTCCCAAATAAATCATTCTGCAAAGAGGAAAAGGGTGCTGGTGCCACCCTTAAAACTTAAGAGTTTTCAGAAGAGTAACTGGTAATAAGTACTTGTTCCCTCAGCTGCTGGATTTAAACACACTGAATGGTTTGTCTGATGAGAAGGTGGAGTGATGGCTCTAACTCAGAGCATTCTCGGGGCACTCCAGTGACCCACATTTGGAGCCCTGGTGACAATTCCATCCTATTTTCAGATGTTAAGACCTTGACAACGGATTAAGAGGCTGTCTTCACCTGTAATGAACTGAATTTAGGATTTTAAACTGTCAGAATTTTGGAAGGAAGCATTTCAAATGCATTCTGTTCTAAGCTATCAGTCTGAAGGCCAAGGCTAACTTACTGCCCAGTCTCAACATCATAAACTGTTCTTTCTTTAAAAAATTCCCCATGGAGAATTTCACTTGTGGAATAAAACAAGATGGGAATAACAGCTGTTCCCAGTGTCAATTTTTCCATGTTTGACTTACTAGTAGTGTGGATGCAAGTATTCTAGAACAGCCAAGGAAAAAGAGAATGACCTCCCTCCCCGCAGCAAGTTGAAAAGGACAGCAATTTCAGTATCTTTAATTAGTCAAATTAAGTTATAACTGCTACCACTGAAGTGTTCAAATGTATTACATGTTTTAGAGTTTCAACTAAGTTCACCCCTCCACCTATGTGTTCCAGGAGGAGGGGGAGTTTTATTAGCAATGCCTTTCTTGCTTCCATTTTCTGAGGGAAAGTTGAAAGCAGGGAACAAGTTAATAATTCTAGGAAGGAAAAAAAAAAATGTTGAAATTTTATTCCTTCTAGAACTTGCTCACAACCTGTAACTTGAGTTAAATAGTTGGAGAAAAAAATCTAACCTTTTCAAAAGCACCTAAAATGACTGTGAAGTTAGAAGGCTCCTCCTAAATTAAAACCTCAGTGTTCAACTGAGATCTCCCATGCTTGCTCCTAAACTTAGAACTCCAAGGAAAATAGATACTTAAAATTGAAGTGACTTCACAATGTAGTTAAGACTATTCTTTTCTGAACCATTAATATCATCAATACTTTAATGGCCCTAGGTTAGTCATTAAGACACCCCATTAGAGCCTTAACTCTTTTTGCAGCCTGTTTGATGTGCTTTGGTTTTAGGGAACAGAAATTAGTGCATACCAATGCACCTTGAAGGTAGATAGCTTAAGGCCTTCTTCCCTCTCCAAAAAAATAAATCTTTGCTACTGTGATTTAAGGAGTGGGACCAACTAAGCTCTGCCTTCCAGCCTAGACAAGACCACTTCCTAATTTAAAACATGACCTTCACAAAAGCAGCTAGAGGACAAAAGCTCAAGTTTTCCCTGGTTCAGGTCACTTGTAAGGACTAACCACAAACTAGTGCAAGAATATTCTCAAGTATTACACTACTTCTCCACAGGGCAAAGATTATTAACTCACTCCCTTCAAACATTTTATCTAGCTTGTTTAACTCCATGGACATCAATGACAGGACACCTCACATGTGAATGTAAAACATTTAATTTAAAAATGTTGACACTACAATATATAAAATAGCTATTATAAATGCACATAGTGTATTCTATAGCTGCCAGGTTTACGTTTTTAGGAAACTGTAAGTTACACTGTGGTTAAGACTTGTAGTTTCACCCTCTGAAAGTCCACATTCTATCACAGTGATGTATGGTCAGACTTAACAGCCCCAATTGTTAAACACTTGGATCAAGTCATAACCAGTTTTATTGCAAAAGGACCCTGTACACATTTATATCAATTCTAGTACCTTACAATTTTAGCTACCCAACAAGTCATTAACATACAGAAACATGCATGAGAAGCAAGAAAGATCACCCATCCCTTCTGCATATTAGCAACTTGTCACTCTTGAGCAACAAGGCTCACATCACTGAGGTTTATGTGAACAGTCACTTTTCGCATTCATCCTGAGTGAAAGATGGAATGACTTAAGTACAAATGCAACATATTATAAACAATTTCTTACAAAAAAGTCACAAATTAAAACCAAAGTATTTTACAGAATTTACTACAAAACACCATAAAAACTGCTTTCTCTTAAGCTCTCTCTCCCCGTATCCTGCGAGCCAGCTGGATGTCTTTGGGCATGATGGTGACTCTCTTGGCATGGATGGCACATAGATTTGTGTCCTCAAACAGACCCACCAGATATGCTTCACTAGCCTCCTGTTTTTAAAAAAAGGCAAGAGAAAAGAGTGTTAGAAGCCTTCCAAAAGCAACACATGCTCCCCCAACTTCCTAAGTTACCATAAGCAGCAGCGAGGTCACTAGTAGTACAATACCTGCAGTGCACCAATGGCTGCACTCTGGAACCTCAAGTCTGTTTTGAAGTCTTGAGCAATTTCCCTTACCAACCTCTGGAAGGGAAGCTTACGGATCAACAGCTCTGTTGACTTCTGATAACGACGAATCTCACGAAGGGCCACAGTACCAGGCCTAGAAGGAACAATAAGAGACTTCAGTCCAGGAGGATATCACAACGCCTCGTTCCAGCTCCAAGTCTAGAGTTGCAGGATATTCTCGGGCACCGCCTCAGCAAGGTTCTTTTCCTTACCTGTAGCGATGAGGTTTCTTGACGCCACCAGTAGAGGGAGCGCTTTTCCTAGCCGCTTTAGTGGCCAGCTGTTTACGTGGAGCTTTGCCACCAGTGGACTTACGGGCAGTCTGCTTTGTACGGGCCATTTTTCCTCACTTACCTAAAAGGGAAACAGGCACGTATGACACAGGGAAGCACCTACCCCACAATTAAACCTCCTCCTTTCCTCACGAAAACTCCCCCCGTCCCCGATCTGTGCTCCCCAGCATGGGGACAGCAGGCCCCGCCATCGGCAAAACCGCCCCCGTCTTCCTCCCCACGCAGAGACGTGGGCACAGCGCTGCCAGCCCCAGGCAACAGATGTCCGTGGGCTGCCTCCCCTCCCCCGCGCGGCAGGCACGCCGGCCGCCAGCGGCCTCCCCTGGGAGGAGGAGGAGGAGTCACGGCTCCCCCGCCCCCGCTTCTCGGAGAGAAGAGTGAGTCACGGCCGCCTCCCTCAGCCTGCGGCCGGCCGGCGAGTCCCAGGCGGCGGCTGCCGCCGCGGAGCACGGGAAGGCCACCTCCGGCAGGCCCGCTCCACGCAGACAAGGGATCGCGCCGCTTCCTCTGGGGCGAAGCCGGCCAGACACGGTCCTGAGGCCTGGCGCGAGTCTCATCCGACGCCCCCAGGAGCTGCGCTCAGCAGTGCCGGTCGGCCCATCGTGTTGTCCCCACGGGAGCCGATCGCTGCCCGGCGCGGAACAAACACTCACCGCCTGTCCGAGGATCCGCCGGCTGCTGCTATAATCCGCTCCGCGCACGGAACCCAGCCCAGCCAACAATCCCCCTCACTGTGCTCTCCCGCTCCGAGGGCCGGCTTTTTATAGAGGGGGCGGCAGGCGGCGTGATGACCTCATAATACCTGGAAACGGCGCACCTCCCCATTGGCCGGGGCTTCCGCCGGCGCCGTGCCGTCACAGGACACAAAGGCGGTCCTCCGTTTTCTCAGTGCTGATTGGATGCAAGCTTGGCTGCTGATTGGTTGTTAAAATAGCACGCCGATTGGCTACTGGGAGGCAGGACTGAGCCAATCAGAACTATCTCCAGGTTTCTTGTTCTGATTGGACGAAATGGAACATGCTTTGGATCCTACCCTTTGTTGTAAAGCTCCACAATGGAAAGGCAATAGGAAGGCAGTGTGTATGAATGTCCTAAGCGCAGCTGGGAGGACAGCTGGAGGACAGGGAGCTCAATAGAAGCATGCTGGAGGCTTTATTAATGTCTGTATATCAGCTCCTAAAGTCCCTCATAAAAATGTATGTTAACAAAAATGCAGTTAATCTTCCCTTTTAAATAATAACCATTATTAATAGTGAATTAACTTCATTTTCTAAAGCATTGTTCAGGCACAAAACACTAATTAGTAAACTTTATTTTCTATAATGTCTTTCATACTCTACGTACCAACACTTGAAATCTATGACAAATTCAGGGATGTTTGTGGATTAAAATCTTTTAATTCTACTGAAATACACTGAATTTGTTTTTTAAAGATGAAGCAGGGAATATTATAAATACTTGGCTAAGGATAAGGATGGTCCTTTCTAAATACGGACAGTCTGAGTGGGTAAATTCATTAAAAAATAAAGCAAAACAATTAGTAATGTAATAAATTTGATCTTTACAACACATTTCATATACCAAGGCCTTGATCTTGCATACATCATGCGTAAAGTTAAAGCATTGGGCTTCATGGAATTCATTGCAGGATCAGGGCCTTATGTGCTAGTGATTTTCATACACAACACACTAATGTCATTAAGATTATTTTCTGTCTCTCATACACAAACCTATTCATAACATTTATTTTATACAACAGATACATAGCTATACATACTGAAAAATAAAGTTAAATAAGAAATACGTAATATCTGTGTATTTATATATCTCCACAACATGGATCCCCCTTGTATCTAAAACCCTACGAATACAATAAACGTGATTTATAGTTATATAATAACTATAATAATAATAATACAGCGATATAAAGGAAGAAACTTATGCCCCAATTCTAGAAATACATGTGGACTTAACTTTGAGCACATGAGCAGTCCCACTCAAGTCAATAGATGCAATCCAGAGCCCTGCAGATCCTGCTGGTCCCACAGGACCCGCTACCATAATAATGGGAATGGGTAAAATGCACTTTATTGAGGGCAGGATTGAGTGGGAAAAAAACCCAACAGACTGTGGTAATTTGCAGGAAAACACTAAAACTTTTAATACTTAAATGTAAGTGAGGGACTGAGATTTGATGTCTATTATAACAGAGATTAAAGTATTTTTTACATGGTTTAAGCAAGATTTGTTTTATTCTTTTAGTGGTAAAAATTGTCTGAATTCCGTATATATATAGAATATACTAATTGACTATTTATTTTATTTTAGTAACTTGGGGGAATCTGTCTCTCTTGTGGGATCTAAGGATTTTGTGGGTGGGAGCAGGATAAAAACACAAGAAAAAATGTGGGAGCGGGTGGAAGTGGGTATTGCAGGGCAGGGCAGAACGTGAGCAGAATTTAAAAAATAGTCCTGCACAGGGCTCTAGTGCAATCTTGACCCTACTGGAGTCAATAGGAGTTTGATCATTGACTTCAGTTGGACCAGGAGTTTACCTGTGAAACTGTTCATATGCTTAAAATTAAGCTTATTTATAAGTATTTGCAAGATTGAGGCCCTAGCACTTACAGCTCACTCATCCTCAACTTCTTACTGACGCAGAACTCCTAGTGCCATCATATAGCACTATCTTCAACATCAGCATGTATACAAACATTAACAAAGGTATCAATATAACATTTTTACAAAATTGGATAGGAAGAAAAAAAACAAAATATGAA